CCCCCCGACCCAGAAAACGTCGTGTTTTACTATCGTATCCATTTTGGACGTGGGGAACTCTGTGCCACCACGTAACCCTATCCGTACGTCGTGTTTTACTATTGTATCCATACGACGTTGGGAGCTCTGTGTAACCACTTTCCAAAGAGGAAATTTACCCGATAATCTGATCCGTACGTTTTGCATAAGCAGTCTGTCAAAATGATTTTTTGAGAAATTATGAAAGTTTCAAAGAGATCTTCGTACTAGAAGTATTCTAGTATGTGAAGATTACAACCCCTGGGGTACAAAATGACCCCATGTCGGGCGTACGGATAGGGTTAAGGGGAACAATATGATCAATAAGATATATATAGAATTATTTTATTGTAAGATATAAAATATATATGTTGTAAGATATAGAATTATCTTATTGTATGTCATCATGCTTTATGACAGAGAGAGAGAGAGAGAGAGAGAGAGAGAGAGAGAGAGAGAGAGAGAGAGATTACATAGCCAACCACACAAGCCAGAAAAACCTGTAAGATTTCACTCTGTTAATTTATTAAAATAATTAGACCTATTATCATTTTATCTTCCAGCACAATGGGAGCTCTTTTCACAGTTGTGAAAAATAAGTGCCCCCACGGGGTACACGTCATATGCACACTGTGGTCATTGCAGCCTATCTATTACACTGTTTTTCCAATAATATACATGTAGTGGAGTTTATGGGGTTGAAACTGGGCTACACCTGACCTTACTTTACTTTACTTTTATCCGCCGCTTATACCATTTTGGGAGTCGCTGGAAGAAAGAGACGTTTCTCTGTTGCCAGCCAGAGAGCTTTGGTCAGGGGTATGCCGTGGGTGGTTAATGTTTCCCTGACTCCATCTATCCAGGTCTTTCTCGGTCGCCCTCTAGCCTTGTTGTTATCGATTTTTTAATGTAGGCACGTTGTGCAGGATGGTGTGCTGGTAATCGTAGGACATGCCCGTACCATTTTATTCTTTGGTGTTGGATGTGATGCATGACATCATTTGTTGCCACAATTTCTCGGATTACAGAGTTTCTAATTTTGTCTCGCCTGGTCTTGTTTACTACTTTTCTAAGGCATCGCATTTCACATGTTGTAAGTGGGTGGTTGGCAGGTGATCTGGTGTGGTTTGCTTCTTCTTTCCTATAAAAAATCTATCGTCCTTTTCTCCTTCTTCTTTTTTATGATGTTTGTTACTCTCTTGTAACACCTCTAATCTTCTGGCGCTCATATGACCTTATGCAGTTGCGAGCGCCGTAAAACCTCTACTAAAACTAAACTAAGAAAAGAACATGTTGTAATTTTTTGCTCAAAAGTCTTTGTTCGTGGTCCATGTTTGGCATTGATAGGTGAGTGTTGGGATGAATATGATGTTGATCATTTTGAGTTTTGTTGTCATGGGGATGTTAAGATGTTTCAGTAGTGGAGTAAGCTGGTAACTAACATTATTGGCCTTTTGTACTCGTGTTTCAATTTCTCTGTTCAGTCGCCCATCCTCTGTGAATATACTTCGAGGTACTTAAATTCTTGGACCTGTCTGAGACTGTTGTTGTTAATGTGTAT